ATATGTTGTTCTTAGATTCTTGAAAGCCATTTTTATATTTATTATAAATAAATGTTATGTTTTGGTCCACTACATACATTAGATGGCATGGCTGTTTAAATTAGTGTGAATTGACGACCTTCATTTTGTTAAGTATCTTATGACTCTTGTGTTGTGACTTTTTTTTGTAAATCACTGTACACATACTGCCACTTTCTTTTAGTTTTATTATCATAATCAAACAGTTGCCCTTGACATTTGCTGTATGGATCTAAAAGATGCCAAGTCTTTGGTGATGCTGTTGCAAAAGTGCATTATGGAAAATGGGTCTAAATTAGCTTGAATTAAATAAGCAGCCATAAAACTAAGCCATTAGAAATCACATTTGCAATAACAACAAATATGGACTGTATTTGGTTAATTAGTGATACTTAAAAATGGCCTGATTTTATTTGTGAATAGAAAAATCAAAATGTTTGAGTTTGATAAGTAAAGTAGCCTTACACACAACACCAGTCTTGTTTCATTAAACAAAAAACAAGTTTACCATTTCTAATTGTTAGCATTTAGTTAATACCATACTGTTAGCTTTTTAAAAATATGCATTTAAGTATTTTTTTTATTTTTATTATTATTCAACACAGAACAGATGCTGGTCATAAAATTAGAATATCATAAAAAAGTTGATTTTATTTCAGTAATTCCATTCAAAAAGTGAAACTTGTATATTATATTAATTCATTACACACAGACTAATATATTTCAAATGTTTATTTATTTTAATGTTGATGATTATAACTGAAAACTAATGAAACCCCAAATTCAGTCTCTCAGAAAATTACAATATTACTAAAGACCAATTAAAAAAAGGATTTTTAGAAATGTTGGCCAACTGAAAAGTATGAACGTGAAAAGTATGAGCATGTACAGCACTCAGTATTTAGTTATTGCTCCTTTTGTCTGGGGCCGAGATGGTGTAGAGGCAGGGCAGCCGGCTTGGGACCTGAGAGTCCCAGGTTCGATCCCCAGTCACTGCACATCACGTGGCGTCTCTGG